TTCACCACATTTACCACATCTGCGCTTGTGACACAGTCACAACATCTCACAGACATTAGCTGTAGGGATGCACCATATATCGGCGACCACATCGGCATCGGCCGATATTAGTGTTTTTTCCCATATATCGGTATCGGTCCGATGAACAAATTTAGCTGATGTGAAAAACCGATGATTGTCTGACATCAGTGCCTTCATCTCTACATTTGATGTTGCTGCTCTTTCACAGATGTTTTTACTTCAATGAGCCTGGACTTGAACGTTAAATATGTTTTACCTTTGTTATGTGATAAAGAAGACTGTGGTGTAATTTGGGCTTCTTTTGAATAGTTTTCACGTTCTCACAGTGCTTACTCATACTCATTTTCCCGTGTGAACAAAAATTGAATATCGGCATCGGTAATATCGGTAACATCAGTTATCGCCGATATCAGAAATCTTAATATCAGATATCGGTATCGGCCAGAAATTTTAATATTGTGCATCACTAATTATCTGTGCCTTATGGAAGATAATATGTCTTCTGGCTTAGTAGAAGCTCCCTACCGGCCTGTATGTATGGGAATAATGAGTGATGATATTGGTAGTTTAAAAGGGGGATAACAATCGATCATGTGGACTTGATAGATCATAGAGAAAGTGATGGTGTACAAGTCATTTTTGTAGGGATTATTTTCACGGACAACCTTCAAAATATGTCACCTTTTTTACACAGAAATGAGTTTTTTGAGGTTTAATCTGTGACCACAACCTGAATACTTATGCAAAAAAAACATCAGCATTCAATAACAACAACAAAAAGAATTTAAAAAACCCAGAAGCAGTGATTGAATGAATGACAAGACTCAGTAGTTTCACAGGGACAACTGGAAGCAGGCAGACATGCAGTCAGTGCAGGCAGCTGGTGACTCTTGTGACTGTGTGAGCGTGTTGGATCTTGTTCAGTGGAGCGGGAATGTTTACTGTCAAGCTGTTATCTGTTGGTGTACGTTCTCATGTGTTATTTACTTATCATAAACAGTTTTAGCTCCAAACAGAAGAATTTCGCACTTCGCAGGCAGAGGACAGTTCATCGCTCTGGCTCGGGCAGAGTGCGTCTTTAAAGGTGTTAATGTTCAACGTTAGTGACATGATCACCAGCTTATGCAGATCTAGTCGGTTTGATTTCTTTCACCTTCACTTCACTCTCAGGAAACAGTTGGCTTTATGATTTTCTCTGTGTGTTTGTGTTTGGGTGTAGTTCCTGCTGTTACCTGCCTCATGGAGAAATCTGATGAATCACCAAAACCTCACCCTTCAAGTGCTGATTCATCGTAGAAAGAAAAGAGACACTGCTCTGTGTTTTCTCCATTTTCACACAGTGTCTTCTTAAAGGTTCAACATCTAACATTTCTCACAGCAACATATCGCTGCTAGACTCATCACAGGACTTTAGATTGTTGCTGTCTGGTGAACTTAAGGCCACATGTCCCCCCAAAAAACCCTTTAGACTTCCATCCTGATTTGTTTAATTCATGACTGCTTTTTTATCAGATGTTTACATATTTAAGCTCCTTCTGCTCTTCTTTTTATGTTGTTGCATATATTTTGGAACGCTGTGGACTGGGGTTAGATAGCACGAGGCATCTCATCTCTACTTGTAAACACTCAATTTACTTTGTGCCTCTCCAGATGAATCTGTTTAGTCGCTTCCTCTTGAGGAATCACATTCTAGTCAAGCTCATTTTCAAAACAGTGTTGTATATTTGCTTTTTTTTTTGTGTGTGTGGACCAATTTGTTTTACAACCAGCTAGAAATGCAGCACATAGTTTTCTCCCCCCAAAAGATTTAAGGGAAGAATGAGTAAGAAAGCAGCAGAATGATCCACAGTATTGCACTTGCTTTGAAAGCCTCTGCTGAGTCAGCTCTCCTTTTCTTTCTTCCGACTCTTCTGTCTCTCATCCAGACTCCGAAGGAGGTTTGTTAATGGGTCCACATGAGCTCTGGGTAGTCTTGGATGACTAAGCATGCGGCTCGGCGGCGTTGCATGTGTCTGGGTGTTCCTCTTTATCAGTTTTTTTTTTTTTTCCTGAAGAGCGTCCTGCATCTTTAAAGCTCAAAAACACAGATTCCGATACTCTTGGGACTGAAAATGAAGTTGGAGCGAAGCAAACACATGGAAAGTGATGGAAACAGGTTGAGCAGGTTGTGGTGCCTCAAGAATTGTTTATTATGCAAAACTGAAGTTCTCAGCTTTGAGGCAAAAGTGAAACTAAAACAGAGAACTAAGTGCAGTCCAACCACACTTCTCCGTTTTTTCAGAGTTAACATCTACAAACACGACGTGACGTACATCACTCTGCTGCACTGTGTGTTAATATTTGTGTCTGTGAAGAAAATATTTGCTCATGGATGGAGAAAGAAGGTATTAAACTGCTGCCACGTGTATTTACTGCAGGTAAATAATAAAGAAGAAGTGATCTAAACTTATAGGAAGACGATATTTGATACTAAAAAGAGCAACACGAATGGAAGTGTAGGTATTGTTGGATGTTTTGATGTTAGAAGGTGTTTTAATCTCACCAACTTTTTGTGTTTGTAGCAAATAAAATGTCAAATAATCTACAGAATGCATGAGTTTTAGACTTTTTAATATTTTGTCAGGTTATAATGGTAGTATTCAGTATATTTACTTTTGCTTATTTAAGGAACTTTTTTTTACAGAGAAACATGGTCATACTCTGTAAAGTGAAGTTTTTGTGCTGCATTCCACTGATATTCATCTCACAGGTGCTGGCTGGCCCGCGAGCCGTGTCCTAGCTCATAATGAAAATGGATTTTCTTCTGTTTGTCTGTTTACCGCGTACAGCAAATATTCAATAATATCCCTCGGCTGTTATTTAGTTAATTTGAAAATAACAAAATTGAAAGAAAGATGAGTCGTGTGTTTATTTTATCTGATGAATATTATTGTTTGTTTATTTACTCGCCTTATGTAATTTTGCAAAAGGGCTCCTCAGGCAAAACCAGTTTCTGCTGTGTTGTATTTGTGCAGGAACTTGGATGGATGCAACGCTTTGTGTGTAACAGACTGTCATAAGAACGAACCTCAGAGTCAAAGAATAAACTTACTTACTTTTTATTCTGGTGAAAATACATACATTTGATATTTTTGTAAAGAAAACTCCTTAAATTGTTCATGATATCTCTCATTTAACAAACAGTTGTATGTAGTTTTGGAAATGTTGTTACATTATTAAACCTTAATTCAACAATCGTGTGTATTTAATAAATTAAAATGAGATATTTGTGAAATGAGGATAAAATTGTGAATGTATTTCAATGCAAAAACAATTCTATTTTTTTTTTTTTTTTTTAAATCACAGTAGCAGGTTTTAAATGTTATTTTATATTAGATATAAAAGTTAAAAGGGGCTGCAGGGTGGGGCAGTTGGTAGCACTGTTGCCTCACAGCAAGAAGGTCGCCGGTTCGCGTCCCAGTGGGGGCACCGGAATCTTTCTGCGTGGAGTTTGCATGTTCTCCCCGTCCAGTGTGGGTTCTATGAATGTGCTTGGTTGTCTGTCTCTAAGTGTAGCCCTGTGATAGACTGGTGACCTGTCCAGGTGAACCTGCCTTCACCCTGAGTCAGCTGGGATAGACTCCAGCCCCCCATGACCCTAGTGAGGATTGAACAGTATATAGATAATGGATGGATGGATATAAATTAAAAGTCCATTTTTTGTAATAAGATTGATATTTTTTGTATTTAAAAAAAAATATAGGAAAAAAGAAAAACAAATTTAATAAAATTGCATGTGCATTTAAAAAAAAATTGTAATTTATTTTTTTTGTGGTTTATGAAAAAGTGACAGATTTGTTCAGTTGCAGGGATGAGTTGCATCATAAGTCATCACACTCATGATTACACATCTGATGTGGATAGGGTGGAGGGCATCAGCTGATTTTTTTTCCCTCTCTTGTGTGTGTGTTGGTAATAAATCCCTGGATTCCAGTCCAGAGTGTCTCTGAAGTCATAAACCACACCGATGACTGACTCATGTCTGATCTGGCACCGATTTCCAAAGAGACTTCCAGACATTTTTATGAGCCGTGTGAAGTGGAAGGATGGGTTGGGTAATGTACAGTAGCGGTTTGCTCCTTTTAACTTTTTTCAGGCTGTGGAAGTGATTCTCGAAGTAAAAAGTATTTAGAGTGCCGCAGACCTGATATGGTATTGGAGAGAAAGTCATGCATGATCTTGAGACTGTTTTTCAGCAGAATTGTTTCCCTCATAATTTAAAAAAAAATGGAAATGCCTTATTAGAAAAAAAATCCATTCAGTTTGACCAACCTACTAAATAAATCCACAGATATGGGTGTGAAAAGCAACTCATTTATCAACCATGAACCTGATAATCGCTGAAACAGAAACAGAAAACACATGATACCTTCAATATATCCTGTCTGTCACCTGATGGATGACCTTACTGATGTTTCGTTTTAGTCTTGCCGGGATTTTAATGGTGACGAAACTTTCTTAGGAGGAATTCAAACACTTTCACTTCCTGTTTATCATAAGTGGCATCCATCACTCTTCTCCAAAGCAAAGTCTTCAAAGAGGCGTCCCCAATCCTTTTAGCTGCAGATGGACTGCTGTGTCTTGTCTCTCTTGTGTTGTTTCATGAGCTTGTGGAGCTATTGTTTGGTCCAGCTGCCCTCTGCTGAAGCTGTTAGGATGACCATGACCTGGACATCTGAGAATCCACGCAAACATGTGTTTAATTTTAGATATTTTCATGATAATGCTCCAGCTGTGTTTACATGTCTATTTTTGGTTATTTTTACTGAAGAGCCTGCATGCTTCCGGTCCTTGTCTGACTCTTACGGAGGAACATCAGGGTCAGAGTCAGGCGACCGGAAGGTTAAAAGTCAAATGGCTGTCCCTCTGTGTGGGAGCGAATGTAAACTCAGGAAATGGTCAAATAGCTCAGCGTAATGATCATCTCTTCTCTCCTCTAGGTGCCCCCTGCTCTGGGGTTTGACTGCTAAGCATGCTGGGCAAATCTCAGCCAACTTCCAGTAGGCTCGAGCTGGTGGACTCGGACGTTTCTGAAGCCTCAGAAGACGAATACGACGGCATCAAGATGGCCGACCTCGTGGAAAGCCTGGATACCAGAGAGCTGGACATCGGGGAGGGAGAGGAGATCGACTACGATGGAAACTGCTTAGGTATGTGTTTCCTCTTCGTTTTCCTCTCTTAAAAAGTAAAATCTTATGAGGATTCCTCCCAAAAGCAAGATGACAACTAAAAAAAAATAATACATCCATGAACAAGCCAAACAACCCAGAGAAACACACTGAAACTGTGGGCGGGGTCATTCAAACTGAGCAAGGCAGTCAATTATTTCCATGATAAGCGGTTAAGTTGATAAGATTTTGCAAGCTCCTCAGAAGATTAAACTCAAATGGAATGCAACTTGTCAGATCATGAACTGGATTCATTACTCATAAGTACATTTATATGGTCATATGAGGTCAGAGCAGTTAGTCTACGACTGTCTTCTTGGGTTTGTTCCCAGGAATTAGAGAAGTAGCCCAGCAGCCAGGCTGAGAGGAGGGGGGCTCACATTGTCTGACTAGTAGAAAGACAAGATTTCAACTGAATGCGCTGAGCTTCCAAACTGCTATCCAGCCATGCAAGAGTATGAGGGTGGATGTTTCCTTTATGTAATTTAGATCCCACAAACTTTACCGGAGAAGAAACAGAAACATTTGCCCTGACGGCGCAAACTCACAAAGCACAAGAAGCTTGAACAAAGGCAGACTTTTTCAGCGATGCATCCTACTCGCTCCTAAGCAGCCTGAATAACTCCTACATGTACCAACAGAAATGAAAAAAATCACGCTAACCATCCGCCTCGGTTTCTGTTCCTAGGGGACAGTCGTATCCCATTTTCAGCAGTGTATGGCACAGTGGGTTTTAAGGAGGCCAGCGCTAAGGTCTACCTACCCACTGTGCCCATTACCGCCCGGATCCTGGAGGTGGAGAGGTTCACCACCGCACAGGATCGCTTCAACTTGTCGCACCACAGGAGTGTCAACAAGGTACTGCACCTATCCAATTACAAAACCACTATATTTGGTACTTTCTACATGACCCTGTTTCTTGCTCGTACAGTTGATTTATGGGAAATGTTTTGCAAAGAATTTAATCATTTTTCTGCCCTGTCTTTCTTTTGGTTGTTTTTTTATGTAAATATAAGGATTTGATGATAATTTCTGCTTCTCTAAATAAGTCAAAATATCATTTTCCTTGTAAGAAACCTTTTCATAAAGAAGCCAAAATCAGCCGCCCTGATAGAAAACAATCTCGTTGTCTGTAGTCTCTGCCAGCGGTCTTTAAGATTGAGCTGAAGCATGGAGAATTTACCTGGGTGGTTAAGAGGAAGGAGAAGCATTTCATGGAGCTGCACAGAGAGCTGAGGACGTACAAGACCTTCATGAGGATACCACTGCCATCACGCAGGTTAGCTCCTTCACACACTCACGCAAACAATCACAATGTTTTTGGCTTTTTTTGACAAGAATTTGCAGAAAATTACTCTTTCCTGTTAGAGTGAAAACAGATTTTATGTAATCCTGTCAATACATTAAATATATAGCCAGCTGGTGAAATGGAGATCATCTGAGTTGCTGGTGAATCAGTGCTCCAGGCTATAACTACACCATGATGACAAAAGAACACTTCAGGCAACTCCATGAAAAGGTTATTTAAAGACACAAGTCAGGGGATGGATACAAGAAAATCTCCAAGTCACTGAATTTGAGTACAGTTAAATACATCGTTAAAGATGAAAGGAATATAGCACATGTGTAAATCTGCCTAGAGTAGGTTGTCTTCAAAAACTGAATGACCGTCTAAGACAGAGTCTAGTGAGGGAGGCAAGACACCTACGACTCCTCCTGAAGGAGCATTTAGTTCCAGAAGAGTTTCGAAGCTTTATGGGAGAGCGGCAAAAAAAAAGCCACTGTTGCAAATAAATCGTATTAAATCTCGACGAGAGGTTGCAGGGAGGCATGTGAGAGACTCTGAAGTCAACTTGAAGAAGGTTCTTTCATCTGATGACACTAAACTTTTTGGCCATCAGACTAGACACTATGTCTGGTGGATACCAAACTCTTCATCACAAACACATCATCCTGACCTTGAAGCATGGAGGTGGCAGCACCATGACGTGGTAAAGCTTCTCAGCAGCAGGCCCTCTAAGGCTTGTCAAGGCAAAGGGTAAAATAAATGAGGCAAAGTACTGGAAAATCCCAGAGGACAACCTGATGCATTGAACAGAACTGCGACTTGGCAGAAGATTTGTTTCCCAGCAAGAAAATAACCCAAAGCGTAGCGCCAAAGCTCCACAGAAATGGTTTAAAGGCAAAAAGATGAATGCTCTGTAGTGGCAGAGTCACAGTCCAGACCTGAATCCATCTGAGAGCTGGAACTTTAGAAGGACTGTTCACTTAAGTTTCCCATAAACCTGACAAGACAGAAGCAGTTTGTGAAAGAGTGTGAGGTAAAATTGGAGTGTCCAGATGTGCAACGCATATTAAAACGTATCTACACTGGCTCAATGCTGTAACTGCAGCCAAAGGTACATCCACTATTTACAAAGGGGGTGAATACTTATGCAGTCTCTCATTAGATTCCACTTTGACATGAAATAGTCTTTTTTTTTTGTAAGTTTTTGTCAAAGAAACCAAAGTCAAATCGACCATGAATCATTGTTAAAAAGCAGTAAAAGGGGGAAACCTTCCCAGTGAGGTGAATGCTTTTTATCATCGCTGTACCTTCCATTGCTGAAGAGCTGTGACCTAAAAGCAAGTTTTGATCCTAGAATTTAATGTCCCAAAGATGAGTCTCCTCGATGTGGCACAAGTATACCCTCGGCATAAAAGTTTTGTAATTAACATAGCATTAGAAGAACAGCGTGGGCGACCCGACAGCCAAGTGGGCAGGGCGCATACCCCGAGTGGCGACTCACCAGTTCGAATCCTGGCCGGTTGGATCATTTACTGTGCGTCATGCCGCAACTCTATTCCTTCACATTTCACTCTCGCCATGTATTCTCTCATGAGTGAACAGTACATGTGAAACTAGAGCTAACGGGCGATTATCTCAGCATGGCATGAAGACTGGACACAGAGGGGACCAGCCAGCGTGGCTTTATCCAAAGTCTGTTCTTAAAAAATAAAATCAGCCCACTAGCACGTCTAAATTTGATTGAATTTATTAGAATTTCAAATCCAATCACAAAGACAGATGTAAAAAAACAACCACAACAGGGAGTTCTGCTCATGGTGGATCATTTTGTTCATTCTTTCATTTGTTTATGCTAAGCTACAGCATCTATAGCTTCATGTTCGGCACACAAACATTTAAATTGGCATTGACTCTCTCTCATCTAACTCTTGGCAAGAAAACGAATAAGCGAAATAAGCTCATTTCCCAAATTGCCTGTAAATGTCAAAGTATTCTTTCAGTGGCTCTGACAGTATTTGTCTGCAACCTTTTGGAGTTTATGAACCTTTTTGTGTTCTGCGTCCGACCACGATGAATGGCACTGTGACATTTCAATTAGCTCCCTTTGTTTTTTTCTTTTCCTGTTCCTTTTTCAGGTTTTTTTTTTATTAGTCTCTCTCTTTCTCGCTCTGGTTTTGTGCTCACTTGAAAACAGTGGAATGCTGTACTTGGATTTTAATAGGATTTAGGTTTGCCAAACTCCATCTCTCTCTCTCTGTGTATGAAGTCGTCTTTATTTAGCTGTGGTTTGCTACATGATGCATGGGATTGCTGTGGTAGTAGTTTCATAAAATGGAGCACTTTTATTTAAAAAAAAAAAGAACAGCTACCACAAAATAATATATAATAGCCTTTCTGTTTTCAAATAAATACATGTCAGTTTTGTTCCTCCTTTTTCCCAGCTGATGTGCAAAAACACAGCAGTGAGCCAACCTACTGTCAGCTTATTCCAGCTTTTACATTTGCTTGTGTAAATATTTGCTGACAGGAAGATACACAGAAAAATATGATTCCAAGCAGCTGCTAAAATTCTTTTTTTGTTTTCTTTTCTTTTAACCTTTGGGCCATGATGGTCTAACTTTTGAAAAGATTCGACCGCTGTGTGATTGTGCTGAAGCATCTTGGTTTCATCCATCATCTTGTTTTGCAGCCACACAGTGAGGAGACGGACGGTGAGGAAGAGCGAGGTGAGGGAGATGCCCTCCCTGCCCAGGGGGGGAGGAGACGAGCTGGTTCGAGACGAGCAGGTGTCCAGCAGGAGGGTACGTGGCTGCGTCGTATTTGCAGCCTTTCTGCTTGTTTTTCGTTCCTGGTTTAGAAAAAAAAAACGACTCTTGCCATATCTCAACTTTATTGCAAGGAGGCTCTCCTGGCACTCGCTTGTTGCCATGGCACTTAACTCCTTGCCAGTATCCTCTAAAACACTCTCTCACAGTGTGTGCATGCGTGTCGGTGTTTGTGATGCATGGATTTTGTCATTAAAAACACTCACAGTGGCCAAATATAGTGTATGTGTTTCCACAGAGACAATTAGAAGACTATTTGAACAAGCTGCTGAAGATGGCCATGTACCGCAAATATCATCACACTGTGAGTAATCGCTCTAAGTGACGCAAGCGTTGACATTTAACCGTACCCTTGTAATGATTGCTTGTAAATTATGTTTGAAGTCTGTGATGATTTATGTTTATTTTACATTTCTGTCAGCCACTATATGTACTTGAGATCCACTGTAGAAGTTTATGATTAACAGGTTTTTTTTTTTCGTTCCTACCTTCTACCCTTATTATGGACTGTTGAACGTTGACACAGATCATAGTGTGTTTACACATAGCAGTCTATATGTGCATAAGAAGTGAAGCATGTTAGTACCATAGACTGTATAAAAGATGGACGTAGCTTCCGTGACGTCACCCGTTGGTTTCTGCACTGAGAACATGAAGCCAGGGTTTTGCTACTTCCTGGTTGACATCTTGGATTTTTGGAGCCAGTGACGCAAAAATCGTCAGAGGGGGGGCGGAGCCATAGGAGCGGCGATTGGTCAGACGGATTGAGAGGCGGGCCCTCTCTGCCCCGCCCACATTTACCACCTTCTGCTCGCTTCATCTGTATGGTCGCTGCCGACTGTCAATCAAGTCATCCACGCCCCTTGCCCTGCAAAATGTTGATGATTTTTTCAAAGTTCAGTATTGATTTATTTTCAGATTGGCCACCTGATCTCTGGATTTGACCATGAAAACTAATAAGAAAAAAATCCTGAGCTGTAGGAATGCAGTATTTCATGATCTGTGATCACTTCTTTTCCAATTCCAGTCTATGGGAGCCAGGACTTTTTGGAGCCAGGACTAGTGGACGTAGTGATACTGCAGGTTTTTGACACTTCTGGGTTGGCTTCATTTTTCAGGGCCGGTTGCTACGTCCATCTTTTATACAGTCTATGATTAGTACTGTTATTTTGAATATACTCTGACATGCGTAGCCTCAAATCTGTAAAATATTATATACATAGAACAATGTTTTTTTTCTGGAAATTGCATAGAAAAGTTGCATTGATTTTTAGCATTTTATTGCATTTATTGGATTATGACAATGCGCTTGTGGGATGTTACATATACTATATTTGCCTTCCTTGCTTCATTTGATATTTAAAAAAAACAAACAAAAAAAGCTCCTCTCTGTATATAAAAAACTAAATTAAAGAACTGATGCATGATAGCTGCTCTGGCAGTACACGGTAGCCCAACACCTTACTAAAGCTATTTACTTTGTTTTTCCTTTAATTGGCAACCAACGCTAAAATAAAATTAAAAAATACAGTCGTCCTCAAATGTATTCATACCCTCCCATTAAAGAAGGAAAAACACATCTGTCACTGAAATGAGCTGAAATTGACAAAAGTAATAATCACTGTGGTTCAGCAGAAATATATATTTAAAAAACAAACAAGCAAACAAGCATGATAGGGCCTGTAAACTAATATTTTGTTGACCAACCCTTTGAGCCAATCACTGCAATCAAGTGTTTTCTGTAACTCTCAGTCAGACTTCTGAACCTGTTGACAGGTATTCTGATTTTGGCCCACTGCTCATCAGCAAAGTGCTCTAACTTGTCCAGGACAGTTTTTTTTTTTTTTAAATTATTCTTTTCAACCACAATTCAAAAGCAATGTCCTATTTCACTACATTATAATTTAGCAAATTTTTATTTATTATTACTTTTTTCACTTTCTATTTATTTGAGTGATTATTGTGAGTTTTGCCTTTTCTTTCATGGAAGGGTATGAATACCTTTGAGGACGACTGTAAGCTATAAATCTGTGTAAGTGTGGACCATTTTACCATTTGCTACCCTAAAAGAGACCGTTGCCATGGCGTCACACCTGCTGAGCACTAACCTTAATACTGTGCTTTATTTTGATGATTTTTAAGTTAACATCTAGTGACAACGCACAGTTTAGGGTGAATCATTTTACCTCCAGGTGTGTGAACCTAACAGCTACCTGCTCTACATGCCGGTGTGTGTGTGTGATGTATTTCACAATCTGTGCAGCGCGTAGACAAGAATCACTGTGTGAAGCTTCTCTCCGTCTCTTCCCGTCTGTTCTCAGATGGAGTTCATTGACGTCAGCCAGCTGTCCTTCATTCATGACTTGGGACCCAAAGGACTGTGAGCATTTTCTCTTTGTCTGCTGCTTTTTGTTTCCCACCCAGTATCTCCAAGATCAGGGTCAAACTCCCATTAGCTGTTCTCAAATTTCTACACTTCAATTTTACACTCCCCATAATAGAGTTTTTTGAGGATATTTTCTGTCTCCTCCAGGGAAGGGATGATCTATAAGCGATCAGGCGGACATCGGATCCCTGGAATGAACTGCTGCGGTCACAGCCAGGCCTGCTATCGCTGGTCCAAACGGTGTGTTGATGTCGCTTTTTATTTATTTTCGTCTTTCAGTTTATTTTTCAGCGCTTCTTTTATTCTTCCTCCCACTGTTTCAGTTGCCATGCTAACATAAAGCACACCACCGGTCCTGACTCATTTTTTTTCTTCTTCCTGTAATTAAGCAGTTTAGGTTTATTTTGCAGCTTATTTTTTGCTCGTTAAACAAATTAATGGAACTCCTTCATGTGTCGTGGTGACAGAAACACACGAAGAAGAAGTACTGGCATGTCTTTTTAGCTTCTCAAACTGGCAAACTTGTATAAAATGTGGGAGTGATGGATTTCATGTACAAAAGAATTTGAACATTCACACTCAGATTCCTGGCAGGAAGCTGTCAAAGTGTGGGTGTCAAAGTACAGTGACCATTCATTGCATATTTCCACACAAAATTATCACATTTTAATAAGCGGTAGATTTCACTATCATCTTATATTTTCCCTTTTTTTGTAGTTTACTAACAAAAGTCTTTAGTAGTAACAAAATCTCGCACCCAGCTGCACCTGAACGTTTCTTCCTCTTCACGAATTATTATGTGAGCGGTTTATATTGTTATGTTTTTTCTGAAGACAACACAAAAAAATCCCACACGTTTGAAACGCTCGGCCCGTCCACCTACATCCCTGTGATGGTTTTCTTCCTACACCCTTTCCTTAAACAAGAAATATAAGAAAATGGTTCACAGAAATCAGTGGAGAGCTGCAGAACCGAGACGCAGGAAAATCCTTAAACCTATTGATGATATGATAATGTGAATGATGTGTGTGTGTGTGTGTGTGTGTGTGTTTGTGTGCTGCAGCTGGCTTGTGGTGAAGGATTCGTTCTTGCTGTACATGAAGCCAGACTCCGGAGCGATTTCCTTCGTCCTGCTGGTGGACAAAGAGTTCAGCATCAAGATGGACTCCAAAGACACAGAGACCAAACATGGAGTCCGGATTGACAGCCTCTCCAGGTTATAGTTCTGAGTCTGAATGTGTGTGTGTGGTTGATCATTTGAACTTTGATGCCCAATGATTGATCACATATTTCTGAGTAAAAGATTAACCCAACTTAACCATCGATTAAAAAGAGAATCCTCCATTAGACTTTCTTACCCTGTTGTGATGTTAAAAATCGTTACTCAAGAGTTCTTTTGTGATGAGATGAGGATTTTTCCTCAATCAGCTTCATTTAGTTCCACAGTACAAGAAAAAAAAGCCCTTCAAGAGACTATTTACAGCCTGCCAGCAACAGGCATAAACGTGTTCTCATTTATTTTCACTGTAAGTCTCAATCTGTGTTCCAAGAAAAAAAGAAGACAAATTTTTTTTAAAAAATCACAGATTTATTACTTCTGATATCACAGGATTAGCTCCTTTTCATTCCAACATTCTTAACACATGGCTGGTTTTATTTCAGGAATCATTACAGAGCTTTGTTATCTCGCAGAAGGAAAAGACAAATGTTTGCTTTCACAAACTGATGCTCAGATAAGGTCAAATCAGACGTCATTTTTTGGAACCACTGTGGTTCAGGCCTGTAGCTTTTCACCCTCTGAACCCCAAAACCAAAACCAAAATGACACCATCAGAGACGTAAATAATAATAATAATTTTAAAAAAGAACGGTTATCCTACATGTGTCCGTAAATTTTTAGCAAAAATAAACCAAGTGCGCTAATCAGCTTCTGTAAAAAAAGAAAAACTTTTGTGCTTTTCTGAGCAAATGAGAAGCCATGACTGACTCAGCTGCAAACAAAAGTCACATGACAAAAATTCTGGGACATTTCGGCTGAACTGCAGACTGTGTTTGCAGCAGGGGATGAGCAGAAATAAAATATACTTGAGCAATAAAATACATGCAGCAGGGCTCAAAAACAGAATACAGAGATGCAAATTGTCAGCAAGTCATTGGAGGAAACATTCAGCAGAGTGAAAAATCTTCCTAAAGTTGTTGTGCATAGTTTAAAAAAAAGAAATGCATAGTTTATAGGAAAACAAGTTTCCAAGTGCCTAAATGTTGACAGCATTTATTCCATCCATCATCTATACACCGCTTAATCCTCACGAGGGTCATGGGGGGCTGGAGTCTATCCCAGTTGACTCAGGGTGAAGGCAGGAGACACCCTGGACAGGTCACCAGTCTATCACAGGGCTACACTTAGAGACAGACAACCAAGCACACTCACATTCACACCTACGGACAATTTAGAATCACCAATTAACCTCAACATGTTTTTGGACTTGTGGGAGGAAGCTGGAGAACCCGGAGAGAACCCACGAGAGAACCCACGAACATGCAAACTCCACCGAAAGATTCCGGTGTCCCCACCGGGATGCGAACCGGCAACCTTCTTGCTGTGAGGCAACAGTGCTAATCAACTGCGCCACCTTGCAGCCCATTTATTCCAGTTTAAAACAAATAATGAAGGAAAACCAAATTCCGTCTTTCCTTTTTTCAGATTTATGTCATTTTATAACTGCACACAGGACATTCTTGAGTCATTTTTACTTCCAGCCATTGTTGGTGTGTTTCTACAGAGGTGCAGGACTTTATATTGCAATAAAAAATCAGCCCACACAGACTAACATGTGACATGAGCAAAAAAAAAATGTCCAGAAACTGCTTGGGGTTCAGAGGGTTCAAGTGAATATATATATATTTGTGGAAGTGTATTCACTGTGTCTCTGTTTGTATCTATGTATATCTTGCTGACAGGACCCTGGTGTTTAAGTGCAGCAGCTACAGGCATGCACGCTGGTGGGGTCAGAGCATCGAGAGCTTCGTGAGGAGTCATGGGAAGGCTTTCCTCCGAGATCACCGCTTCGGATCGTTTGCACAGGAACAGGAAAACGTTCCTGCCAAATGGTAGCTGCACTGGAACAGAACACAACTGGTCAAGCTGTTGCTAATGTTGGTGTGTGCTTGCAAAGAAAAAAACATAAAAAGGGGGATAGCAAGGGTTGCAAACTGGCACATTTGTTTCTCTCTGGCTCACAGTGTTCTGCTTAAAATGTGTCAGAGTCACATTTTTTCACATTTTGGCTCTTTCGGCTCCACGTTGGCGAGTAAAAATCATAAAAGTCAAAGAAAACAAATGTTGAGCACATCCTCTCTGCTGTCCTCTGTCAGTGTTTCCACTGGTAACTATGGAAATGTATGAGAGGACTGAGCAGTCAACTCTCGCTTTTGGCTGAGCTCCCTTTTTTTTTCTCTCCATTCTTTATTTGCATTCTCTCCCCCTCAGCTGGCAGATGCTGTGATATTGAATCATCAGAGTGATAATGTCATTACATTGTCTTTTTGCTCAGATGGAAAAAAAGGAAAAAAAAACCCAAAACGTGTTGCCGTCCTGTGAGCAGATGGAAAAAGAGCTCTTAAGGAACAGTTATGTCATGATGACACGACTATAGGTGTTGCCTTTAGCTTGCAAGGGTGTTGCACAGCAGTGTGAGTCAGGGAAGTGAACAGAATTGCATGCTTAGTTGTGGTTTAGCGGCGGTTTTGAGTAAAGCTGTGGTCAGACAGTAAGCTCTAAAAAACAGAAGTCGCCTTGCGTCTACTGTCTAAAGTGAAACACTGTATGAAGTGTGTATATGTATCAACACAAGTACATGTGGCACGAATCTCACGAGTTACCTGGTGTAACGTTAGCGTCTTGTTTTTTTGCAGGTATGTGAATGGAAAGACTTACATGGAGGACGTGGCTGATGCCTTGGAGGAGGCCAAAGAGGAGATCTTTATCACTGACTGGTGGTGAGTTTCAGTGTGCGCTAACATGGCGGATATGAAATAGTTTTAATTGAGGTGTGCCTGCTGTCAAGACTGAAGTGTGAGAGCCCAGAAATAAACGACCCAGTCATAAAGCTCTTACTGACTTCTCTGTCAGTACCCGTTATACTGTTTCATCTAATGCTGCCTTAATTATTGCCAAACCTGACAGAAAAATAGTGTAGATGTATTAAAAATGCACACACACATGCTATTGTTATTAGTGACCTCAACCATGGCCATGCATCAGCAACCAGTTTCATTGAACTGTCACAGTTATGGGAATCAGGTCATGATCTCTGGTTGACCTGAATGTGTCATGTGAGAGGAGTGGAGTTTTATAAGGAGCATCACGAGGACCAGAGGTGGTGTGGATGAGGCTGTGACAGGCTGCCTGTGGTGATTTTAAAAGGGATCCGTGGTTAAACACATTCGTTCTAGCTGTGTGGTTATATTGCATAAGAAGCGTTAAGGGAAAAAAATATAACAATAAAAGTAAGTGTGGGAATTATATTATAGGTGTTACAATCCAGATTAAGGGGAAAGGGAAGTAGCAGATAAACAAGCAGATGGTCCAGGTTGTAGCAAAGTAGATTTTAATGGATAATAGGTTTTGGCGACAAGCAAAAATAAATCAACACGAATCACACTAAAGGAGCAATGGAGGGCGATGGACGCTACTAAAAAAAATAATAAATTAACAATAAAAAAACTGTTAAACAAAACCTACAGGCAGCCCTTAACCTGCTGTCCAACATTTAACTAAAATACAAATTGACAAAATGTGTCCACAAACACTTGTCTCCAGGGACAGAATGTGTTTTTTTTAGATGGAACAAACAAAAGTCATCATAAGGAGACAGGATGGAGGAGGAGCAATGCCAATTTACATACAAAACTAGATGAAGGTTAATCAAACAAAAGGTAAAAGGAGAGTAAAACCCAGAGCGTAACAATAGGCATCTTTACACAACAATGTATCTCAATTTATTTGTATTCATCACATGTATCATCTCAGGGCGCCTCACATGGTCAGGTAACGATCTCACAGAATGCATACCTGTAGAGAAACCTGTCAAAAGTTTCCTTTCGAGTCCCTTCAATCAAGCACTTGGCAACAGTGAGAGAGAGAGAAAAAAAGCTTCCCTTTTACAGAGAAGGACAAAGAAACAAGAGAACCTGCCGAACCAGGGGGGCAATTACGGCTGCCATTTTCAGCATATTAATTGCTTAGAATTACTGCAAACTGTCAAGAGTGTGTTGCACCTACAAACTGCAGAGGAGAAAAGTACAGAGTGTCGATAAAAAGTGTCCAAAAAAAAAGAAGTAAATCCTGGAGTCCAGCTGACCAAACTGTACGTGTAAATTGTGATTTAACTTTATGTAACCGTGCCGCATTACTTACCACGGTGATGTAAATGAGATTAAACCAAGATGAACTGGATTAATCTTCCTTTAAGCCCCAGTGTTAAATGTAACCAACACAC